TAGGTCGGTTATCCGCTTGGGGTAAAGGATCCCGGCACGGCGCGGCGCAACGGCAAAACATCAAAAGAAGTAGGGGGAAAAATGTTGGACGGATAACGTAGATTCAACGAGAAAGAAGTCTGCCTATCCCGGATGTTCTAGCTACATCCCACGAGGGGACCGACATCTCAACGTGGTACCTCCAAAGAGACTCGTTCTGGGCCTGGAGCAACGGCCAGAAGAGTAACAGAAAAAAGTGGTGTCGGTATACACAGATTAGAGCTCGCTCCATGTCCCCATAATCTCCCTGCTTCCTGCTGGTTCCTCCGTATTCATCTCCCTCTTTCCTCCTCTCACCTATCCTCGCGTGAAGAAGAATCCAGCCACAACATATGAACAATCCGGAGGTCGAAGTTGGCAAATACGTGGCATCATTTTCTTTTGCGACCGACTAGACGTAAAAAAAGAGGCCCGCGAGACACAGACTCCTATAACACCACCAGCTTGCCCTCATGTGTTTGGGAATGAACAAAAAAATGGAAGTCCCAGTCTGCCCAAAGGTTTGTTTGAAAAACTCAAGAAACCTACGCCCCAGAATATGCCTCTCTCTTTTCGTGCGCCGTTCGCCCAATGGGGAGCTGGTTGTTCATCCATGACGTGTGGGGAAATGTCCGAATCGTCTTCAAAGCAGAACTCGAAATCTCGTGCGTCCAATAGTCGTGGCCGATGACGGCCTTTGCCAGCCGCTTCTCTAATGCTGGCAATCATCAAGTCGTGACGTGGAAAATGCTTGTGCCTCGCGGCAGTGGGACCCGTCGGATTTGCGAATCGAATGGATCGGGGCCGGGGCCGCGGATCCGAGCAAGTCCGTCGATAAGGGAACAAAGGTAGGTATTGGCGTTGTTGCCGACATCACAAGACGACGCATTTGCTCTTGCCTTCCCTTCTCCCCCCTTTGCGGCGATAACGGTCGCCACCCTCCTTGTCGTCGTATCTCGCACCGGCATCGCCGTTGATCGGTCGGGTGCTGCTGCGTCCGCCGGGTTGAGGCCGGGAAGCTGCCTGTCGCTGCCTCCGCAGTATTCTGACAACGTCGTAGAAGGCCTTCTCGACGTTTATGCAGTTCTTGGCCGACGCCTCGACGAATTCGCAACCCAGCTCGCGGGCTAGGGCGTGGCCCTCTTGTGTCGATACCTCTCTCTCAGTGACTCTATCGCTCTTGTTGCCGACGAGCATGATGGGTACGGGCGCTTGAGGGCTGGCTGCGGAGATGGGCGAGCCCGGGTATGAGGGCGACGATGCACATGATTCCTTGACTCGCTGGATCTGATGATGGAAGCGCTTGATTCGTGAGAAGGACGACCGTGATGAGATGCTATAGACGAGGACGAAGCCTTCTCCATCTCGAATCCATTGATCTCGAAGGGCTGTGTACTCTTCTTGGCCGGCGGTATCGAGAACCTCAAGCATGCATGCTTGGCCATCGATGACGACTTGCTTGCGGTACGAGTCCTCGATCGTGGGGTCGTACTGTTTTCAGAAAAGCACGGTCAGCGGGCGGCTCTGGGCGGCGACAAAGGCGGGGGAGGGCGATTGAGAGAAAGAAAAGCAGGCGAAACCAAAGACGAAATAATCACGGTGCGATGCAGAAGGAAAGAGGGCGATCGGGAGAGGGAAGGCGACTTACTGTTTCCACGAAGTGTTGCAAGCAGAGCTGGATTGTCAAAGCGGTCTTCCCCACGCCGCCGTCGCCCAGGACCACCAACTTGTACAGCACCATTTTTCCCGCCATGATGGGCAACTATATGGGAATGACGACAGTAGAATGCGACCGAGAGAGTGCGTCAAAACCAGCTTGCTCGATTGAAGATGAATGACTGGAGATTCAAGCGAGTCGGGTAGAGGAGGCGATTCGCGGGGGGCGGAATGGAGGGGGTGGTTCGTCGGTGGTGGTAGTGAAGGTGGTAGTGGTGGAGGAAAGGACGACAAACGCCAGTGTCGGTCGAGTCGATGATAGGATAGGTAAGGTAAGAAAAAAAAAGGGTAAGGTAGGCAGGTAGGTAAGGTAGGTGAGGTAGGTAACGAGTGGTAGGTAGGTAGTGGAGGTAAGGCGGCGGCAGGCGGCGGCGGTGGTGGTGGTGGTACCAAGTAATAGTAAGAAGAAGTTGGGAGTAAGGTAGGAGCCCAAATGTTGCGGGTTGGATTTTGCAGCCCGAGCCCTGGACGTGGACAGTGGATTCTCCTCAGCAGACTGGTGGATTGGATCGACCGGACTGGACCCGACAGCAGTCAGTACAGGTACGTAGCGGCAGCGGTAGCAGTAGTATCAGCGGCGGAGGGGGAGCAAAGCAACAGCACTGTGACCGGGGGGGTGGCAGAACGCAGACTCGAGGGCGGATTGACTGCGGGCTGGCTGGATTGGACTTGGTTGGCTGGGCGTGGCACCTGGCACCTAGGTGGCAGGTGGCAGATTGGCAGGCCCCCGGCAGGATGCGGATAAGGTAACGGGAGGAAGAGTAAAGCAGCAAAAAAGAACAGGAGTAGCAGAACTGACCTGACTGACTTGACGCGCAGGACTGGCAGGTGGACAGGCTGCGCGGTGTCGACGAATGAATGTGTCGTGCCGTTCGCGCGCGTGTGTGTGTGTGTGTGTGTGTGATGCGTGCGTGGTGTGGTGTGTGTGTGCGTGTGTGTCCCGTCTGCTTTGTGTTGTGTGCGGTGCGTGCTCTCTCGCGAGTCCCTCTTCTCTCGTTCTTCTGTCTTCTCAAATGTGCTGCGGGTGGAGACGTGGAATGGCAGTGTGAGAACGAGAGCACCTCAGAATGAATGGACAGGCGGGTCTAGCTTGGGACCTGGGCGTGTGTTAGATGCTTGGGTAGGGAGAAGGATGATACCGGGATAAAGGCGAAGCGGAGCGGAGGCGCACAGCCGACTGTTGGCTAGCTTGCTCCTCTCCTGAGAGGCTGTCAACCCTCGCTACCTCCACGCGCCAACCCGAGCCACCCAGCTCTGGCTCTGTACCCGCCGTGACTTGGGCTGCCCGGGATGGGACGGGGAAGGGAAGGGGAGGGGAGGGGAGGGNCCCGCCGTGACTTGGGCTGCCCGGGATGGGACGGGGAAGGGAAGGGGAGGGGAGGGGAGGGGGGCTCGACGAGGGGACCAGGGGGAATGGCGGATTGGAGACTCCAACCCACTCTCAGCAAGCAACTGCAGTTGCAACTCTACGTTGGGGGTTTGCTGGTAGCGGCGCGGCAGACAGAGCAAAGCAGAGCAGAGCAGTGCCAGGACGAGGCACCAGCAACAGCATCAGCAGCAGCAAAAGAAGAAGCAGAAGCCAGCCCGCAGCCTTAGCCCGCGATCCAGTCCAGCCCAACCTGGCTTGCTCGGCAGTAGACAACAAAAAGGTACGTAGTGATGAGGCAAGGTGAAGGTAGGTAAGGTAGGTAGCGTACGTATGCAGCGCCGCAAGGAAGGGTACCTGACTACCAGGCGCGGAGGCCTGGTCGGGGAACGTACCTGGCTTGTTGATGTACTACGCAGTATCCGTCCTGCTGTCTACTGCCGTGGCCCCGACCACGATGAATCGGTCAGTAGGCACGAATTCCTTGCTTGAGACAGGGTACTGTGTCTTCCAGGTTGTTGGTAGGTAAGCTTCGGCCAGTGTCGAGTGGTGGATGTTGGTGAGACGTTGGTAGACAGCGGCCAAGGCTGTTGGTCGAATGGGATTGATGAAAGCCGTAGCGCGCGGGCGTCGTTAATATGATGGCATCCAGGTGTACGGGCGTCAGCCTCCAATGGCGATGCAGATGTCAGCAAGTCTAGGCTAAGGTATTCGATCGTACGGGGCGACACCCGGGACGGAATCTGCGGAAGGATGAAGCTGGGCTTGGATCGCTGAACGGACGTCGACACGCGAAAAAGCGACGGCGCCGGCGATGGCGGTAGGTAGTGGATTTTGGGCAATGCAACAAATGGCAGCAGCCAAAGTCGAGACTCGAGTGAGGTATCCGTAAGGTGAGGTGGGCAAGACCGAAGACCGAATGGCTGACTGGAGGGGAAGGAACGACGCAGCAGGGCAATCAACGGGGTAGGAGGGGCAGTATCCAGGGATAAGGCCGGCGACGGGACGAGGAAAGCCAGCAAAAACGCTGTTTGGTCTGTGCTCGGTCCAGCCAGCGGGTTGTTCCTCACAAAATAGGTACTTAGGTAAGGAAGGTACGGATAAGGTAGGTAGCTGCTAGGTAGCGTGTTGGCGTCGGGTCGTCGGTGTCGAATATGACAAAGCGAGAAAAGATGCGAACCCTTCGCGAGCCTCGCAGCATCTTGGCTGGCATTATATCGTCACGTCTACGATACGCAGTGCGGTATGGGCAAGCTTCTCGTCTGGTAGTGACGCAGAAGTTGGGCATGTTGGATTCAAATGTCTCCTGCTTGTTGCAGCAAAGCACCATCCATGCAATGCAAGCTAGGTTGTTGCTTCTTTCTGCGGTGCTCCTGATGTCAGATGGATTTGAGATTTGGCTTGTTTCTTCTTCTTCATCCCGCGTCGATGAGCGTCGATTTAGTTACTTCTGCTGCATTACTAGTACGGTATATTGGACGTGCAGCGAACGGTTACATCGAGAGGAAGCAAAGGGCCTGCCACCTTCAACCACCCTGCCTTCCCAACTTCCTTCCTCCCACAACCTAGGTAGGTAGGCACCTTAGGTAAGTGCGAACGTCAGGTAGCAAATACACCTCCTCTTTCCTTGTCTTCTCGCGATGTCTTAGGTAACAAGCCGATCCTCACCTCACTTCGCTCCCATCGTCAACATTGATGTCGCGGCACCTTCCACCGACCTATCTCCTGGGCCGAAGCCTCGAGTCCACCGGCTGGCTGGTGGCTGATGCTCCTGCGCAAGGACACACTCAACATCCATAGCTTGTCCACAGCCACAACCAGCAAACCCATGCTCCGAGCTGAGGGTCCCGTCTTCCATACCTGGAGCTCCACTACAAGTCCGAGGAGGCTCAGCAGATGGATGACTCGGAGAAGCATCGATGGCATGGACACACCTGCCGTGGTATCGACGAACCTTTTTCCTGTCGAGCTTGAAGCGTGCCAGGTGACGTTTGTCGCTCTCAACCTGGACCTTAGCAACCGGGGCCCGAAGCTGGAGCTGCAGCCGGTCTGCGGGTTGACCAGCTGTGTGTTTCCTTCTCCCACATTAGCGCCACAGTCCTAACGAACTGCCCAGTCTTGGGCCCAATTGACAGCCCGCCTCAAGGTCGCACATCCCGCTGTGACGCAGCCGCCCATGCCTTCCGCGCACACGCCACACACACACACACACACACACACACACACACACCTGTCAACACACACACTCGCACCTCTGGCTGCAAACCAGCTCGTCGTACACATGCTATTGGCCAAGACAAACTCTAGTTGCTTGCCGTTGCTCGCTCGACACACCCGTCCTACAAGTCTCTACCTCTACCTAAGGGTCCTGGACGACGTGCCAGTACCAACCAAGACAAGTCTTGCCGGAATCGGTCACCTTTCGCGTGTAACTGAAGAACAAGGTTGGCCTTTCCTCCGTCGGCCGAGGTATTACTGAATATCTGTCGTCCACCGTCAGTCTGCCGACTGCCATGGCCCGAACGACAACCGTCGATGCCTTACCAACATGGCTTTTGGAGGGAGACAGGCATTAGTATTTTTTTGACAGAAAACCCTGCGTTTGTGTCTGCGTCAAACCACCAAGCCGACGCCCGCCGTCTTGTCGTCTGCCCTACAGCTACACGCTAACGTCTTCGTACCGCAACCTGGCACTGGCATCTGCATCCGCGGAGTCCTTGGACCTGGACGGGGCCTGGACGGTGTCCACCGGTCAGGAGAACCCGCCGTTCCTGTGCTCTCTTGCATGACAAGGACAATCCAACATGTCACATCCACGGCCAACGAGTCCCATTGAGCGAGCAACTGCACCCGTCAGCAACCTTGGACTTGGGCAGGATGGCTCTCCAAACTCCAACCTTTGCACTGCACCTGCCACACCTGCCATTCCCAGATCCAGATACAGTACAACCGCCGACATCAACCACCTCCTCACCTCGAGTTCGCATTACAGCCGCTCTACTGACTTGCCCTGGTCTGGTATCTCTGTCCGACCCGCCCTTACCCAAGTCGGTTAACGCGTGAGGCGAAAAGCACGACGAGGTCTTGAAGCTGGGCTGCCCCGGACCCGGAACCACGCCCGGCCCTGGACCTAGAACGGTGGCCGCGAGGCAAACAACACCGTTGACGACTCACGCCGGGAAATCGATTCAAACAAACTAATAGGCCGAGATCCAGACCAGTCTGGCCGATACAGCCCATCGTCCATTGATGTCGTTCGCCTCACTGATTGTCAGATGATGCCATCTGGCCTACCGCTGTTAGGCTTCCGTGCTAAGGGTAGCTACCCCAGCTTTGCATCTCAGTTGGACGAGCCACCCGGTGCCATTTCCATAGCTTCATGGAGCCAATATCCACGACGCATCACGCACCCTCATCTCGTATTGCGCTTCGGGGCACGAGGCTCGCAAGGGCAACTCAAGGCGACGGCGTACGACTTGTTTCTGTATAGGTGGCACGTTCTCGACGTACGTGTGCGTTCTCTGTTCATTCGTCAATGCAGACGCAGAGAAAACCGTCTCTAGCATGTTCCCCACGCCGTCTGGACATTGACCATTCATCCTACTGGCAGACTCAGACTCGCATCGCTCATGCCACACGGCACCCAGGCACCTAGGCTCGTCTCCAAACGTCAAATTCTACTGGACAATTGGTTCCCGTCCCCCCAAGAAAGCTGCCCACCGAATGTCCACATTGCACACTAGCACCGCAGCTGCTGCATGCACCTCACAGACCACCTGTCCGCTAATCCTCCTCGCATCACCCATCAGCAAGCATCTTCAAGCACCACAAGTCGGGTCGGCAGCCCAGCAAGGTGCTGACCGAACCTTTAGATGCCGCGATGGCTGCCCTTGCCAGCCAGTCCAAGCCCGCCAGTCCGCCAATCCGCCTGGGGTCCGGCCAAACTCCAGATTCGCACCGTTCAGACCTTGTCAGCGGCCCTCAACCTTGATCTTGACCAAGCATCCTCCCCCATCCTAAGGCATCAGAACCAAAAGATGCAGGATCATGGATGGGATGACGATGGATACCACCAAGGCCAGCACCTACTACCGGGACTACACCCCACCCGGCGCCGGCCGCCTGGTCCAATCGGAGGTATCCAGAAAGTCTCCATGCTTGATGTCTCCAGTCTCCAACCACCTTTCACAGTGTCTTCAACCCCTCCAACCCTCTTGCGCCGTGCGCCTCTTATCCAACCCACCGCCGTCTTCACCTGGCCCGAACCACACCCGGCCTGACGTTCCTGGCGCTGGTGGCTGGTGGTGGCCTAATTTCTGGTTGATTGCGAAATTTTTTTCCAGCGGAGAAGGGGAGCAACCAAGAAAGCAGGGAGAGAAAGAAATCAATGCCTGCTGTTCCTGCAATAGCTGCAGATTGCTAATCCATCGTACCGGCCCATTCCCGCGACCGCCCGCGTCGCGCTCAGGGCCGAAGCTGGCCCTCGCCGAAATGCCATCCGCAGCAGCTTGACATCACGAGACGGACGCCCAGACCAAGTGACCCGACGTCATCGCCCCCAGCTGAGAACCACAGAGCCATCAATTCAATCAACATGAAGAGAGTCGAACTGGAGCCCTCAACTTCAGCTGGGTTCACGACTCGCAATGCTATTCTGGGGACGGCGCAATCAGCCTCCCTTCCCGTCGCGAATGCAGTTGCTTACGGTTCCGGCCGTACGCGCTCACCCACGAGTTGCCCACGGGTACGGATAGGGTAGCGCAGCACACAGCACACACACACACACACACACACACACACACACACACAAATTAACGATTCGCATACACAACGCAAGCAGTCATATGCTCATGCCGTTACCTGTGCAGGCCTTCCGCTGTCCCACCATTCTCGTGCCAGACCCAGTCTTCCGGGGCGACTCCGCGAAGAGGCTCCCACTGAAAATCCTCGCTTCCAACGGATCCTCTTCCGTGAAAACTCACTGACCATTGCCGCGCCATGTTAGTTCCCGGCTGCGGCACGGCCCCGTTCAAATCCCGCATTGGTCCGTCGAGCTTTCTCTCACTTCCTCCGGACATGTGCTCGGGTGGCCTCTTGAGCAAATCTGCCAAACCCCCGAAGCCAGCCGTTGTGTACCTCAGGCTGGCAGAGATTGGAATGGGAAAAATTTTCGCACTTTGTCAGGCCATGTTTCTGTTGATGACGGTGATACATACCCATTATTCTAACGGCGGAGTTGGTCTCGGAGCCGGCTGAAGCCCAACTCGGGAGCGATGCCCGAGTTGACGACAAACAACATGCCAACGAATGATCGACAGGCATTGTTGACAAACCAATTGTCCCTTTGCTTCCCTGCGTCAACTTTCTTTTTCTCGGACTTTGTCATATTTTGGGGCATCCTATCACATTCTCTGGTCAAACAATTGCTTTTCTCATCCTTCCCGTGCCGAAATCCAACGGTCAAAAGAAATAGGGGCTCTGAGTTGGCAACAGAATCGAAAGTTCGAAAGCCAACCAACAACTGCCATGTTTTCCATCGAGGATAAATTACTGCCGACTAACGCGTTGCGGTCATTCTCTTCTTGGAGACCCGACGCAGTCAGCGGGGACTGCAGCCTGGCTGAACGCCGATAAACGAAACTGCAAGATCCCCGATTGTTGGTAGACCGACTGTGGTGTAGAGCACAATAACAAACAACTGCCCAAGAAGACGATCGGTTCCCCAACAAGCTCGGGACAACTCTTGGCTACGGGTTGCAATAACGACGCACTGTCCATTGATCCTCTGTGCCGTCGCACCGCATGTCTAGATACAACGGCCCTTCGTTCCCGTCTTGTTTCCTCCACGTCGGGGTTGAAGCAAACGCGGCGGAGAGTCATGTCAGCCCAATCGGCTACATCCCCGCCGAAGCCGTTGCCTTCCAGCGTTGACAAATTCTAAAGATAGTCTCCACGCAGCCCTTGTGTGAAAACGAGGCTCGCAAGTTTGCATCGCGGCGCCAAGAAGCAGGCCAAATCGAACGGGTCGATCTGTCAGAGCTGTCACGAAGGCCATGCATCGTGGTGCCGCGTTGTCTCACAGCGGCAGTACGAGGCTGTTCATCATAGCCGGCGTGGGGGTTGCGCGTTGGCATCTCGAGAATCTCCTCGGCACTGCGTAAGCAGCAGATTCAATCGTCACTGAACAGACTTGCGTTGATGGCACGCAAGGAGTATGGTGGACGACACAGCGGCCCCCGTATAATTCGCTAGTGAGCTGTACTGCAGGCACGGCAAACTGATCAAGCTGTGATGCGGACGACGTGGTCACTGGGCTTCGACTTGCAGCGGCTACGCGTCAAATCACGGCGCGACAAGCCGGCAATCCAGCCAAGCTCTGCACCAATCGCGGTCCTTTCTGCTTCGACCAAACGGATTTCACAAGAATTGCCCCGTCTTGGAAGAAAACGCTGGGCGGCTGGTGTTATTGAGAATCATGCGCTCATGGCGCCTACATGTCCAACATGATACGTCCTCTCGTTGGCCTTCAAGTGCAGGCCGTACCGATCGTCCAGCAGCCACCTCCTTCTGCATGATACTTCTTAACATGTCCACTATTCCAGGATTTCCGACAAGGGACGTTTGATGTCAAACTGTCTAAACATATTTTGAACTGGTTGGCATGAGCCGATGAGACGATGAGCAAACTAACCACCCACGATGTGCTGAACAGCATCACAACCATGCACCCCGAAAACCTGTCTCTCCAGAGAGACGGTCAATCTTATTCGAACCGCCAATCAGCCTTTTGCTCGCAACGTCGACAGTCAATACTGTCGTCTGCAAGCGAAGCGGCATCGTCCATGACACAGCGATTTCGTCACCCCACGGGATCCCCAAAAACAAGTGAGGCCAGCGCAGGAACCACGCCATTAAACACGAAACATGTTGGCTTTTCTTCTATTTTCCTTTTCTTAGCATTGAACGCCCACGCGCCGAAGCGACCTTGGACCTTGCTCGGATATGTCCGTTCAACGGCCCGCGGTGGGAGTTCCCTAGGAAGAAGCAAGCACAGCGGCATGTCCGCTGCACGTTGGATGAAAAAAGAAAGAATCGAAAGCCTGC